TTCTTTCGTCAATTTGTTGCCTGGTTATATAAATATCTCTTCCCGCTTTATTTTCTTGATGCCTTCCTTCATTTATCGCCATCTTTCTTTAATAACATTCACCTTTTTATAAATGTCTGTTCCCGCTTTAGTCTGTCGTCTTCTTCATTCAATTTTTTACCCTCTTAACATTAATTACCCGAACTTATGTAAAAATCTGTTTCCCATTTACTTTCTCGTCTTTTTCCTTCAAATTTTGCCCCACTTTCTTTAATTACCCCCAGCGTTATAGAAATGTCTCTTCCTCCTTTCGTTCCTCGCTTTTTTCATTCAATGTTTTGCTCTCTCTTTAATTACACCCATCTTTTTATCAATGTCTATCCCCCATTTAACTTCTCGTCTTTTTCCTTCAATTATTTGCCCTCTTTCTTTAATTACCCCAAGCGTTTTATAAATGTGACTTCATCCTTTAGTTTCTCGCCTTCTTCATTCAATTTTTGCCCCCTCTCTTTAATTACACCCATCTTTTTATCAATGTCTATTCCCCCTTTTCTTTCTCGTCTTCTTCCTTCAATTTTTTGCCCTCTTTTTTTTAATTACCTCCACCTTTTTATAATTGTCACTTCCTCCTTTAGTTGCTTGTCTTCTTTTTACTATTTTTTACCGCCTTTCTTTAATTGCACCCACTTTTTAGAAATGTTCCCCTTTTTACTTTCTGGTCGTCTTCCTCTTTCAAGTTCTTGCCCCCTTTCTTTAATTACCCTCGGCGTTTTAGAAATATCTCAACCTCCTTTAGTTTCTCGCCAACTTTCTTCAAGTTTTTGCCCCCTTTCTTTAATTACCCCTGACGTTTTAGAAATATCTCAACCCTTTTTAGTTTCTCGCCTGCTTTATTCAATTTTTCACCTCCCTTCTTTAATGTCTCGCCTCCTTTTTTTAAATTTCTTTCGTCAGTCTTGTCTTCTTTCCTCAATTTCTCGCCTTCTTTCTTGAAGTTCTCGTTTTCTTTATGCAATTTACCCGCTTTATTTTTTTAAATCTAAATTTCTTTTTGTCTTTCTTCATCTACTCACCATTTTTCGATAATTTCTCATTTTTGCCTTTAATTAAGACTTCTTTTAAGAAATTTTCTTCGTATTTCTTTTCGCCATTTTTTAAAATGACACTTACTCTTCTTTTCATTCCTCTCCCTCATTTTTTTTCATTTCTCGATTTCTTTCTTTAATTAGCTGCCTTTATTTGATCATTTCTTGTCTTCCATTTTTAGTTACACGTCCTCATTTTTTTCTAGTCGACTGTTTCTCATCCCCGCCTCACTTTAAGCACCCTCCTACATTGTTCCGTTTGTTGTCCTCATCTTTGTTGCCATATTCACAACGTTTCGGCGGTTGTGCATTCCGGCCTTCTTCCGTATCTGTCTATATTTCTGAGATGAGATATTGTAACTATTTACACTTTTCGGACTGTTGTCCTCATCTTCGTTGCCATGTTCACGGTTTTTCGAACGTTGTACGCTCCGGCCTTCTTCAGTATATGTTTATATTTTTGAAATGGGGTATTGTAACTATTTACACTATTTACATTCTTCGGACTTTTGGCCCCATCTTTGTTGCCATATTCACGACATTTCGGCTGTTGTACTCTCTGGCCTTCTTCAGTATCTGTCTATATTTCTAAGATGTGGTATTGTAACTATTTTCACTATTTACGTTGTTCCGACTGTTGGCCTCATGTTTGTTGCCACATTCACGACGTTTCGCTCGTTGTACGCTCCAGCCTTCTTCAGGATCTGTCTATATTTCTGAGAAGAGGTATTGGAACTATTTACACTATTTACATTGTTCGGACTATTGTCCTCATCTTTATTGCCAGATTCACGACGTTTCGGCCGTTGTACGCCCTGGCCTTTTTGCCGTATCTCGCAGTTTTCCGCGCTAAGACCACATGACGTCGAAGCACCAGTTCTTGCACGATCACCGAAATTAAGCAACTTCGAGCCTGGTTAATAACTAGATGGGTGACCACTTTAGAATACCAGATATGCTTGAAGGTGTAGGTGCTGTAGCCGATAATGTCTAGGAAATTATTAATCGGATTGGCGAATTCCAATTCGAGTCGCTTTCGTTATATTCAATTACTCTTGGGAAAGTTATGTATCCACTTCTTCTTGCCCCATCAATGGGTTTAGATAGTAAGTATTGTATCAGAACATCGTTATTCTCTCCAAAAGACTGTTAATACAATATTCACTCGCAACAAGAAACGAAGAGTTATTCTTACAATCCAAAAAATATGATTCTGCTTTAAATGACGGTTAAGCAACGTCGAGCCTGGTCAGTATCTAGATGGGTGACCGTTTAGGAATACCAGGTTCTGTAATCTTGGATATGCGGGTGGTGTAATAGACTTACGGCCAAATCACGTTCAAACATTGGTTCCTGTACGATCACAATTGTTAAGCAACGTCAAGCCTGGTCAGTAGCAAGATGGGTAACCGCTTGGGAATACCAGGTGCTGTAAGCTTGGATATGCGGTTGGCGAGATGAATAATGGTTCAGAGACACGAATTCCAATTCCCATTACATTCGTTATTTTCATTTACGCGCAATATCCGTAAGATATGAATCCCCCTTCTCCCCCAGACATGGGTTAAATAGTAAGACTGATATCTACGAAAATCTGTTAATACAATATTCACTCGCAAAAAGAAAAGAATAATTATTTAAATAACTTATAAAAGGTTTATAAAAAATAACAAATCAATCACCATTTTCTTAATACTTCGCATTTTTCTTTTAATTATTCGTCATTTTAAAATTTCTCTTTGTCCTTCAAATTCTCGAATTTCTTCTTTTTAATTGTGCGCCTAATTTTTTAAAAAATTATTTTCAATTTCTTTATAATTCCTCGTCTTCCATCTTTATTTTCTCCCTTCCTCTAATTTTGTCTCTGTATTAATTTTCATCTTCCACATCGTCTATACGATTTATATTCTTTCTCTTTCACCTATTCTACTTTTTATCTTTTGCTTTCAATCGTTATTATTATTATTATTATTATTATTATTATTATTATTATTATTTTTTTGGTTCGTATTTTTTCTTTTCTATTTTCACTTCCGGTCCGTTTTCATCAATATGGCAGACGACATTTTGTTTTCATTCATCTCTTTTTCCTACACTTTATCCTCCATTTGTTTTCGTCCTTCGATTATATTCCGAGTTTTGTATACTACTCTCTGTTATATACTTTTTTGTTCCTTCTTTATTTGTTCTTTTAAATCCGATCCATTCTCTTTTCCTTTCAGTTTCAGACATTCTATTTTATTTTCCTTCTTTTATTTTACTTCAGAAATTGCCTTTCTTACATTTTTAGGGCCGTCCTGCGTATGACGATAAACTACATCCGCGTCCGGGGTACGACGATAAACTACGTCCAGCAGCAAGGCCTCTGATCAGGAGGTTTTGAGGAGCGTGGAACCGCCTCTTAATTGCTGGTGTTCCCAGGTCCAACCTGACCCGGGGTTGTAGCACCTGTTAGGGTCCCAGCTATGGTCAAATAGTTAACCCCATACTAAGGTAAAAAGCATTATGAAAGTGTAAAAATAGGTTTTAATACCAGAAATAATTTGTAAAAAATTATTACCAGAAATAAACTTTTGAATAAAAAAACTGTTACCAGCAATATATTTTTGAAAAAAATATTACCAACAATACATTTTTAACATAATCTTACCAGCTATATATTTTTGAGGAAAAAAATATTACCAGAAATAGATTTTTGACAAAACAAAATATTACGAGGAAAAAAAAAAATGTCGACATTAAATAATCTATAGAGGTTGATATACCGTAAAGCAAAACAAAACAAAGAAACATTTTTAGGGAAATGTCCTTGCGTTGTTATTCTTCCGTTTCTTTATTTTATCGCTAAGTCTTGCAGATGGCCACAGCAATGGTGTCACATTTGAGGATTGAACTCACTACCTCAATCAATAAGGGTGGGTATAATATTATTTAATTTATATATATATATATATATATATATATATATATATATATATAAACTTTCTAATGACGGAAGTGGAAGATGTGCTTCGTTAACTGCATATCGGAATAAACATTTTAGTAGCATCGTGATTTCCCACCTTTTAACGTTGAAACAAGATGTACAGTTTTGTAGTGGATATGTGCATGTTCTAATGCAACATTGCATGAGAAAAAATGTCTTCTTCTACTTTTGTATTGAGCCCTGTTTTAAATTATTGTTTAGAACTCTGAAATCTTACTCTTCCTTCTTTTATATTTGTATATATATATATATATATATATATATATATATATATATATATATATATATATATATAAAAAGAATGTAAAGAGACGAAAATAATATATAAAATAAATTCTAAGGTTCAGAGTAATAATTCAAAAGAGAGCTCAATACTGACAGTAGAGCAATAATTATTTATTATAATCTTTTCATACATACAAAAGCAGTTTACTTACTACAAAGATGCAACTTAAGCACTATTGTTTCACTCCGTCAACTGTTTGCTTCAGGTATATTTTTTTCTGAAACAAATGGAAAAAAAGGAAGTGACGTTTCACATACGGCTTTCTTACAAACAGAATTGTTCATAACCATTTTGGTTCTCACCAGTCGAAGTGCAATTTTAAATGCACTGAAACGAAGTTGCATCATTGTAGTGAGTAAGCAGTTATTCTTTATATCAAAAAAATATTATATATATATATATATATATATATATATATATATATATATAATTAATGTTATTTTCATCTATATTATTATTGTTGTTGTTTTTATTTTATTTCCGTTGATTTATGATATGTACACGTTTCTTTCTGGGCCCCGCCCAGTTGCATAAGTTTAGAATGGCGTCATGACATTTTCCACTGATCGATTAAAACACACACACACACACACGCACGCACACACACATATTTTACAGATGAAAGCCTTTTTTGTATTATTATTATTTCCGGTATATATGTATATGTATGTATATGTTGTATTTATGTATGGATATGTGTGTATATATATATATATATATATATATATATATATATATATATATATATATATATATGACAAATTGGAAAAATTTACTTGTGTCGCTTTTCGTCTTTTAAAATTTCATCGGATTAGGTTTATTTACGTTGAAGCGACGACATATGCGCACGAACAAGAGACACTGAGAATTTAATATATATATATATATATATATATATATATATATATATATATAAATTAATTATATGGAAAATTAATATATATATATATATATATATATATATATATATATATATATATATAAAATTATATTATATTATATATATATATATATATATATATATATATATATATATATGACGATCTACCAAGAATGGTGAAAAGTTGTAAGAACCTTGGCGCAAATTTATTGTGGATGACTTAGCGATTAAAACACTAAACATATTCGTCTTAGTAAATTATTTATTATTATTATTATTATTGTTTCTTAGTTAATTGGTCTTTTATATAAAAATTCTGGTCAGTCTAGTTACAGTGAGCAACTAATATTTGTAACGTGTTGTTTTGTAAAATGTCCCTCGTCTGTTCATATAAGCTTTTATTTAAATTTCTTGACGTTTCTCCGATATATTCTTTGTAGCAATCATTAAAACATTTCTCTTTCAAGTTTTAACTTATTGTTTTGTTTTGTATTGATTAAGTTTTTTTTTTTATTGTTATAAACGTAGTTGTGACAAATGTATGCTGAGTTTAGATAAATTATTTTCAATTGTATTTGTGATAGAGTTGCTGGGTAGAATATATTTTAATCCGTTTCGGTTTGTCAGGAAGGAGAGTTCTTCTATTTTGGAATATTTTATGAGCCTTTTGCTTCGCAATGAATATGAAATAAAGTACTGAAGAAACTTAAAAATATTTTTAATGTATTGAATTTGTGGTGCTCCGAATTCAAGGAGAGACGGCACGTCCCTTTGAAATTCCAAGAAATTAACGGATTCCAAGCGTAAATGAAGAAGGTATATATATATATATATATATATATATATATATATATATACCTGACATAGATCGATATATATATAGAGAGAAAAATAGAGAGAGACATTGAGATAGAGATATGTATATAAGCAGATAGATAGATAGATAGATACATACATACATACATACATACATAAGGAACATATCGAGATAGATAGATAGATAGATAGATAGATAGATAGATAGATAGATATTATAGATATTAACAGATTGACATAGATATGAACAGAGTGAGATAGATAGATAGATAGATAGATAGATAGATAGATAGATAGATAGATAGATAGATAGATAGATGTATTACAGTAAGGAGAGACGTAATGAGAGTCCTATATATATATATATATATATATATATATATATATATATATATATATATATATATATATATAAAGATATTGAAATAGATAGATAGACATGTATAACCATAGATAGAGAGATATTTATATTGCAAAGAGCTGCGTAATTTTCACAAACGTTTTTAAGAATCCCGTAATATTGCGTTAAATTCTTCACTGTCCGATTCATCTGATGTCTTCCTGATAATCACTATTTCGATGCTTGACATTTACCTCTTTTCTTTTTACCAAAGATGGCATTCATAACAGCGATATTCCAAAGAACACTCTTGACCAAATGTCATTTATTTAGGCTTGGTCAGCATTAAATGGCTATTTTTATTCATTTTTGGACATTTTTATTATTTTCGACAATAATTCAGTAAGAAAACAAATGCCGTAAAAACAGAAAAACAGACCTAGCTGAAGAACCCCTTGTCTAATTTTAATGAAATTTAGCACTACCCTGGACAGGGGTTCAAGGCACAATATGCTATTAAATTAGTTGGGCTATTATTGTTTAAACTCTGTCTCGAGAATATATATATATATTCATACATACAAGACTGGAGTTTTAGTATTATATAGATAACTGAATATATTATGTGAATATTAATAATTATTAGCAATAATGAAATTACAAGTTTGTTCTCTTTTACGGTATATCAACATCTCAATGGGTAATTTAATGCTGACAAGATTTCTATTGCTGGTAATTTTTTTATACAATTTAGTACATTCAATTAAAAGTTTGTTTTTTTTTTTTATAAATAACTACTTGAAAATAAAGAGGCTATATGTGTCACTTGACTTAATAAATAAATAGATACACGCTGATTTGCTGCCGTAAAATATTCTGAAATAAATGCGAGGAAGAAACAAGTATAATAAAAAAATATACTTATCATTTTGAAAAAAAAAAAAAAAAACTACATCTGTTTTAAACTATTACTCCAAATTTTCATGCAGTGTTAACTATGAAGCCCAGTGGAACAATAAACCTTTTTTACACTCTTTAGTATTAATTATTAGTTTTGTATTCAAAGTACATTTTTGGAAAGACATTCCTTTTTTATTGTAAAGAAGTAAAACATATATCTATTGATAT